ACGATGTCCGAACCCTTCTCTCTTTCTTCGCCCAGATGTCTCTTTTTCTCATTCGCCTCTGCATTGTCATGCAGTGGTGCAGTTCCTGAGGCTTTGAAGCTTTGCGCAGCTCGCGTGGCAGCTGGCGAGGGAGACGCGCGGAAGGCTTTGCAGGCCCTTTGTTTGCAACTGTAAGTCCTTGGCCTTGAAGGGCCCCCCATATCCCCGTGTTCATTATCCTTGCTGAGGTCTGTCAACGTGCACTTCAACGTGCAATCGATGCCGGGCGCTCTAGATCTGGGTTAACGACAGTTGATACTGTACCAAAGTAGAGCTGAAGGCTGGGTTGCTGTTAAGGAACTTAAACTAATAAGTTACAATGGTGGGTATCTATATATATATATACATATATACATACAGTGTAAATAATATACTTTCCCCAATATAGTAACTTAAATTAAGCTCCTTAGCAGCAACCCAGAAGAGTGAGGCTTCTGTGGCAAGCGGCGAGCCGCCCGAAGTGGCGGACCGCCCGGGATCACTTTGAAACGCTGGATTGAGACATTTGGGTTTCCCAACACTAGGAGAGCGTTTTTAAGGGTCCCTATATTAAGGATGGTAGTATATTGGGGTCTATATTGGGTTCCTGAGACATTTGAACAGTATTTCATTTGGGGATACTATGGTACCCAATATAGAGTAACATTATATCCTCCTTTTGGGGTATAGTATTTAGATAAAGAATCTTATCTTACTGGGCTTAACCACCAAAAAAACTACTCATTTGAACAAAGACTGGCAGAGCCACGCCAAGGTAACAATTGCTCAAATGGATAAGGCCGAGGCCGGATTCAACATCACTCCTGCTGGGCATAATTATAGTAATTACAGCAATACTAGTAGGTAGTACAAGTAATAATAGTAATAATGGTAATAATAGTAGTAATTGTAATAGTAATAGTAATAGTAATAATAGCAATACTAGCAATAGTAGCAATAGTCATAGCACTGATGGTAATAATGATAATATAGGTAATAATAGTAGTAATAATAGCACTGATAGTAATAATAGTAACAATAACTATTATAGTACTGATTTTTTCTGGATTCCCGGAGCACAGGCAGAGCTGCTGAGGCAAAATCCCGTGGCCGTGGGCATAATGAATCTGAACCTGAAGGCTCCCAAGTTTAGGGTTTAGGGGTGTAGGGTTTAGGGGTGTAGGGTTTAGGGGTGTAGGGGTGTAGGGGTTTAGGGGTTTTGGGTTTAGGGTAAGTTCAGACTGAACAGGGGTGACATGGTAGGGATAATTTAGGGTTTAGGGTTTGACATGGTAGGGTTTAATATAAGGTTTCTATAGGGACTATAGGGTATGTCGTGGGGTGGTTATACAGGGATTGTAGGGTATATATAGGGTTACATAGGGATTATAGGATATATCTCGGGGTGGTTGTATAGGGATAATGGAAAAGAAGGGATGATATTGGGGTTATCTAGGGATGATAGGATCTATATGGGGTTATATGTATGCGATGATGGAAAGAAATGGAAACTACTGTAGGTCCTTGTGTGCAGTATGTTGCAATTGCCAGCCTCGCTGCTTCCTGCTTGGCCTTGTCCTGGAGCTCCGCAGTCAGCAGAGCCCCTCAGTCTTGTCGTTCACTTTGAGATTTGTAGCTTGGAACGGAGAAGGGATTGCCTTCTGCTACACTTAGGAACACACATGTGCTCTCGCTCAAGACCATCTCTCGGCGCTACGAGGCAGGCAACACATGGAAACATAAATTGCAACAGCTTCCAAAGACTCGAGAGTGGAGTGGAGTAGAGATTTCGGCAGGGAATCATGCGGATTCTGCAGCAGCGCAAGGAGGCCCTTGGGACGATGTGCAGAATTGACCTTCACTTCATGAGCCTTCCCAAGTCGCAGGGTGCCGGGAAAGCTGCTCGTGAAATCTCGTCCGAGAGGCCATGCTCAAAATAGTTCCTTGTCATGTTGACAGAGCCTTGTGCTTTTCTTTCGCCGGAAGGTGTGCGCAAGAGTGCGATGATTTGCAGCAACGGCTTCAGGCTGACACCTTTACTTCTTTACTTTGAGTTGTGCTTTGATTACTCAACAGTCTGGAAGGACCTCTCCGTTCTTTCCCAGTATGCCATGGAGCCCTTTGCTTACAAATCCATCACTGGAATAGGCATAGGCATGGCACAGGCATGGCTAGGCTGCAAACTTGGACCTCATGAAAGCTGAAGGACTGGCGATGACATTGAAATGGGTCTTGGGTTCGGAGCTAGCATTGATGTCGGCAGCCTGGGTTTGGAGATGTTTGCAGCCGCAACTCCTGGCTCTTTTGGCCCAGGTCTCGGAGGCAGCGAATGCGCTGTCAGTTGGGGGGGAACTGCACGAGATTGCCAAAGAGGCAGGCATGACTTGATTGGGAGATTGCATGTCGCAGAGCCATGGCCGCATCATTTAATCCTGCAGCTCCTCGACCTGCAATCACCGCCTGAAGTTCCGCGCTTGGGCTGAGGGCCGAGGAATCTTGCTGAGTAACAGCATGTGTCCAGTTGCAAGTGCATACTGCAGAAACCGCCTGGGAACTACAACCTAATCTGTTTTTTCTCATACTTGCTCCAAAGTTATTATATTGGGGAAACCATATCAATTACTATATATGCCCATTTTGGTAACTTAATTGGACGGTTTTCCGACATGTCGGGTCTGTTTTTTTGGCGCTATGCGGCAGACTGAGCTGGCCTGCAGCTCTAGTCTCGGGGAATGACTGGGTTGCTGTTAAGGAGCTTAGATTAAGTTACTATAAGGGGTACATATAGTAATTAATATGGTTTCCACCATATAGTAACTTAAATTAGCTTCTTTAAATCCCTATAGTGCACCAGTGTCCATTTCATTTTCCATTTTCTTGCCAATTTTCTTTTCCATTTGATTCTTCATTATCGGGGGATAATATAGTAACCCTAAACCCTAAGCACTACATTATCTTTCAATATAGCAACTTAAACTAAGTTCCTTAACAGCAATCCAGATACGTATGGCATACCTGCATAGACGCAGAATGCCCGCAGGTATGTGCATGTGGAGCCTGGGTGTGAGCGACAAAAAAAAGACTTTGCAGAATTTTGCTCGGGACCCTGAAGCCCAAACATTTCCTGACCTTTGGTAACTTCCCAAAATAGGGGACGCCAACATAGATCCCAATATACTTTTGTCCTTATGACGGGGACCCAGAAAAAGGAACCCCTGATTTTGGGAAACTCCGCTTACAGGCCTTCTCTTTACTTTCCAGAAATGCTCCTTACTGCAGTGGCCATCTGGCTTCCAAAAGGCAGTGACCAGGAAAGATTTGTAGCAACTCATGGCATCTGCGAGATGTCTGTATCCAAGTGCGGTATCCTCTGCCGCATCTCTTCAGCAACCGCCTATAGGCTCGGACCGACTCCTTGAAGGGGGTGATATATAGGGGATTCTATAGGGGACGACTATGATACTACAGAGGTTATTGGGGGCATACTAGGAGTTCAGACTATAGCTCATGTCAGTCCAGATGATGCATGATTCGGATCTATGGCACTTTGGATCATGGGCATGATGCAGCTCCCATTGCATTCGCCCTAAACCCTAAACCTTTCGTATGGGGAGCTGCAGCCAGCCTGATGTGGCGCTACATCCATTCAAAGGTTGCAAGACTCTATTTTTTTTGGTCTGTCTGGATGTTTCTCCGGAACTTCTCCTGGGTGTGTATGAGCTCTATTACTACTTCTACTACTACTACTACTAGTACTACTACTACTACTACTCCTACTACTACTACCACTACTACTACTACTACTACTACTCCTGCTGCTGCTACTACTACTACTACTGCTGCTGCTGCTACTACTGCTACTACGGCGACTACTACGACGACTACTTACTACCTTACTATTCTTGCCTAGTCATTGTGGTGACTTAGCTCGAGCATGTGCTGCAGGTCAGGTGCTGGTGCTGGCGTTGCAGAAGCTCAGTTGCTGTTAAGAAGAATTAAATTCAGTTACCATATTATGGGTACATAGGGATTTAGGGTTTAGGGTTGCCATGTTATGGATAGGGGGGGTTTAGGGTTTCAGGGTTACCATATTATGGGTATATAGGGTCTAGGATCTAGGGTTACCATATTATGCATACAGTAAACAATAGGTTTTCCTTGTGAGTAACTCAGCAACCCAGGAAAGCATGGCGTAGTGGCTCTGCTGGCTTCGTTGCGGGGACCATGCAGGCAGAACAACTTTGATCTCTGAGCTATGATGCGAAGGAGAAGGCATTTACTATCAGCTACTACTCAGGATAGCTGCCACTGCCTCTGCTGCTGCAAAAACAGATGTTTACCAGTTTAACGGCCACAGCTACTGCACGAACTGCTGTTTGCTAGCCCCTGCCGCTCCTTGAAAAGAGGGAGCGCTCTGATGATGCTGCTGTGGGTGGTAGCAGCAGTGGTCTCACTTCCCAAAAAGCTGTCATCATTATCATCATAGTCATAATATTCTTCTGTAGCAGCAGCAGATGAAAAGGAGCAGAGTCATGCGGAGACTGATCAGAAAATTAGCCAAAGCTCTCGAACAAATCTGGATGGTAGTCTTACATTGATATTCAATGAGACCGCAGCTCAGGTAAAAAAGGCTTGCACTCAAAATCCACAGACTGCATGTACCCTAACATCTATTTCGTGACCCGGAACTTGGCACAAGTCAACACTCCCAAATGAGTCGGAGGGTGCTGAATAATTTCGGCAAAACTTTGCACAATTTAGATTCCCTACGCAAATGTGGATTCCAGCTGATCTGCAGCAGTGCCAGCAGTAATGTAAACTGCAAGAGGAGAATAATTAGGAGCAGAGGAAGTGGGAGGTGCTCCTGTGAGTTACCTGTGGGTTATCCGTATGTGCTTTAGGAAAGGAAGGCGTAAAGCGCTTCAGAATTTGCCAAGTATCAATGAGCTTTGGGGTGTTTATTTTTGCAGGTACTTGCGTTCATGTGGCTCCGCACAGCCATGAACTACCAGCAGCTCTTCTGCACGGATTGATTGCTGCTATCTGCCACCACTGTGCATACATGCTCCGACTTGGATTAGCAAGGAAGGAGGTGTTTGGTCAAATCAGGTATAAGTTTGGTGGAACATTGCTTGCAGTACTCCAGAAGCTCTACAGGGAGGGTGGCAACCTGGCTGGCATCCATGGATTGTTGACAATGCAAGCACACATTCTTCCATGCTTGCTTGGGTCTTCGTCAGCTTGCCATGTTCACTCCATCTTGGTTACAGCAACTGAGGTATTGCGAGATTATATCAGGGTCTCTTTCCCTGGGCCATCTTTCAGGCCCCGCTCTCTCGCTTTGGGGACGTCGCCGCAAACGACATGGTGCTAGCGCTGATGGGCGCCCTGCTTCCACAGGCAACAATCCGTAATTCAAACCACCAACACGCCAGCGTTGTATTCAGCACTATACGTTTAGACTCTTAGACCTTCAGGTCAACGTTCTCCACAGACCTTGCACCAAACTCTTATCCAGATTGCTTGTGAAGGTGCCAGTTGGAGTGACGACCTTTCTGGGCTCTGTTTCCAGCGCTGCCTGGCGGGTCATCATTACGCCGGTGGACACCTGCAAGACCATTTTGCAGACGGACGGAACCAAAGGTTGGATAATGCTGAAGGAGAAGGTTTCCAAAGGCGGTCCGCTGATTTTATGGTCTGGCTGGGAGGGTAACTACATGGCCAACGTCATCGGGAACTATCCATGGTTCGTAACCATGAACCTGCTTCAAAAGCGTGTGACTTGGCCAAATTCAGGTGGTCATCTTTGAAACATGGTAGTTTCCCAAAATAGGGTCCCCCCATAGACCACCAAATACTATGATCCTTATTATGGGGACCCCGAAAAAAGGTACCCCTAATTTTGGAAAACTCCCACACGCTTAAAGCTCCAAGTGGGGGTTTCCCATAATTAGGGGTACCATTTTGGGGTCCCTATAATAAGGATTATAGTATATCGGGTCTATAGTTGGGGTACCCTTCTATTTTGGGAAACTGCCAAGAGTGTTACGCCGAGGTGCCAGTGCCAGCAGGGAACTTCATGAAGCTAGTCAGGAACGCCTGGGGAGTTTCTTGTGAATTCCTAGATACTATACTAGGGTATATATCAGGGCTATAATAGATATATAGGGGTAATGGAGAAGAAAATGGAAGCTACCATGGTATATCGGGGCTATATAAGGATAATGGAAAAGAAAATGGAAGCTACTATGGTATTTTGGGGCTATATAAAGATAATGGAAAAGAAAATGCAAGCTACTATAGTAAAACTTTGGGAAACGTGCCCGGCAGGAGTGCTGTTATTGGCGCAATAGCATCGTCCATCAGTGATGTGGATACTTGGTTGGATTGGACCTTCTGGGCTTTCTGTGAGCTGAGGGAACACAGGCATGCTGAATTCGACTGAGCTTTGTCCCTTGAAGTGGGTAAGTCGAACACACTGAATGCTTTGGATCTTTAAGGTCGCAAATTCGATCCGCGTCATCAAGACAAAGAAGCAGACGAGCGAGGATGTCAATTGTGGCTATCTCTCTGCAGCCCAGCAGATCATTGCCTCGGACTGGAAGGGCATAATTCAGCAGCTTTCTTCCTGTGCACCCGCGTAGCCGCTATTCGCATGAAGGGACTCGACTTTGCGTGCTTGGCATCTAAATCTGGCCCAATGTTGCATATTTCTTTCTGACACATACTGAAAGTATAGTTGACTTCTTCACAGCCTGGTACACACGTGTTTGTTTGCAACTCTGCTCACATTTCGCTCGGAGAGGACGGCATCAGCGGCATCTTCTTTCGGGGTCTGAGCACCCGAGTATTTACAAACATTTTGCAGAGCGCATTTTTCACGGTGCTGTGGAAGTACCTATCTTCCAGATAGCTTGCATGATTAAACGGATGTAGGACACGGTTGATGGCATTTGGCCCGTCAATTTGTGAAAAGATAATGCAGCGGCACTTTTTTGAAGTACCGCTCTGTGCAAAGTTGCTGTGTAGAGACCTACACTGCTCTAAAAGTTGAGCAGGTCTTCTACTGCAGTCTCTGCCAATACCAAGTATGGTCCTGGCATAGGTTTTGCGAAATTGGAGCGGTCGCTTTTTGGAAGTTAGTGATTGTGTTGAATCTGGTGCTATGCTACGTCCTTTCATGTCTGGACCCAACCACCTGTACGTGCCGCAGCTACAATGACAAATTAGCTGTTCTGGCAGCTCGGTTCTTTTAGGGAGGAAGCCATTGTTCGAGCCCATGTGCACCTTGGATGAAGTCTGAAGTCCTTGGCAGTTTTGTCGCACTGGCCAAATGCTGCTAACGTCCCTGCTGAGGCCGCTCCAGCCAATGCAGAAGTTGTGGTAAGACCACATGGGTCGGCATTGCTCTCAGCGCTGTTGCCTTCATGCTACGACCGGCACAGAATGCGGAAGTCTGTGACAGGCTGAGGACTCCACATCGACGCAGCGCTGAAGAACGTTCCGCTGGCAGACCGCTGCCCGGGTTGGGAAACTGGCCAATGCACTGCGCAGGCTGACATCCTTCCTTTGCAGAAGCTGTGTTTGCAAGTCTCCGCTGCAGTGTCATCCCTCTGAGATGAAACGAGAGTAGGGATAATACCTTTGCAAAGGAATGGGCAAAGGGTGCATTTAGACAACGCGGCAAAGCTAGGTTGCGTGCGGTCTTTTTCTCAATCGTAAGAACCTGTGAAAAATACAGGATCCCCAGCAGACCTTCGGTGCACAAGCACTGGGGTGCCCATGCAGGTGCAGAAGCCTCAAGAGGTCCCTGCCTCTCAGGCTAAGGACCAGCCTAGGGACAAGGGTTTGATGGGTAGCTTTCTCGCGGTTACCTGAGAAAGGAACTAGCTAGGTTGGACAGCTTGAGGCTTTGAATCTTGAAGTCCAGTTGCGGAAAGATTCGTTCATCGATCTTTATTGGCAAGCTTGACAACAAAAGCTCATTTCCATGGCCTTCCCTTCGGTCATCTTTGGTTCATGCAGAGAGTCCGTTCAGGGGGTCCCACCGGCTTGCAATGCAGCATTTGGGCGAATTAGGCCTGGGTACCTGGAGAAAACATCATGTTCAGTGTGATTGGCTCGTTTTATCTGAAGCATCAGCAAAGGCTAGTTCCAACACAGCCACAGATGCGGTCACACCCCCGCTGAAGGAAGTTGTCACGGCCAGCAAGCCTGACGCAGAAAGGACTGCTGAGCCTCCAACTGTAATCAGCTACGCAGTGAGCTTCTTCTTGAGATTTGTATGTGTGTGCGGTTGTTATTGTCATACAGTGAACTTGCAGCACAGCTTCTTGGCAGCTGGCAGGAAAGATGCTGGCATTAAGCAAGCGGCAGCTCGGCTTGGCCATGTGGGGACATCTGCATCAATCACCCAAATATAGAAATCCAGCTCAGCAGAGAAAGTTCCATGGATGTTGGGATGGTATAGGCTTTGGAAGGTGGCTGGGGTGGGGAGAAAACTGCAATTCCTCCTCCCTCTGCCTGGGATGAGACGTGAAGACCAACCCAGGTGCTGATGATGAAGCAAGCTAGATCTTTGTGTGGATCCAGTAGACTACCTTCCTGGAAGAGCATTTATTTAGCAGGGTTACCTGCTATCTTGTGTCAACAGGGACGCAGGCACCATGTAAACCCATATTGGCAAATCGGCTGAACCACTCCGGTACCCGGCTTTGGTGTCCTGAACAATCTGCTGTATTCCTGAGTCGACCAAGCTGTTCTGGTTTCGAACTGCCATACTCAACGCCCAGGCTTTTCTGAGCTCTCATCAGTTCGCCATGACACAGTTGATCTGAAGAGAAGTAGTAATTTCCATGAACAGAGGGCCTCACCTAGACATCCCCAAGCTAAGGCCTTGAGCTCCAGGATCCCATCCAGTGTGGTGTTGCTTGGATTGGGCAGCATATTGGGCTTGGTGATGCTTTCACTGCCCAGGATGCTGCGCGGTCTTAAGACCAGATAGGAACATTTGAATAGATGTAGACGGCTCTCCAGGCCTTGCGAATGATTGGACTTATGTCCAGGACAGCACAGGCTGGAAATCAGCATACGAGTTCTGCTGGCATTGCCGACATTCGTCGAGGAAAGACTTTTGAGGTGCCAGAGAACATGTTCAGGCCAACGCTACACTTTACTTTTGTGGTTCCGAGCAGGTCCTCAACGATTGCTGTGCGCCTGGTGTAACGTTAGGGCAGTTTTCCTCATCTTATAGCTCAGAACGCAATCGCCAAGTGACTGTGTCCTGTATGTCCCGAGCCCTTTTGGGCCAAGACCTTGCTGGAGAAAGCTAGACTCGTCTAAAAAGGAGTCATGGAGCGCAGCGCCCATCTCATGCCGTTGATGTGTCACAGCGTGATGCCGAGCTCCAATTGGCAGCCAAGTCTTTTGCGACGCGGCCCCCCCCCCTCAGCTACCGTCAAAGACGGAAGCTTGAAGGGGTAACCGGTAACCTGTCAGAAAACATCTGAACCCATTGCATCCCGGAATTTAAAAAGATGTATCAGATGTTACCTCAGGCGAAAGTAGCCCAGGCATGTTTCCGAGTACTGTTGGTTTCTACAATTACTGGGCTCCACCAGCGAGCTCTGCATGGCCCGCAGCCTTCCAGTGTATCCGACATGGATCCGAAGAGCAGGACGATGCTGGAGTCTCATTTGGAAAGCTGTTCTATCACCCCAATATACCATAGTAGTTTCCATGTTCTTTTCCATTATCCCTATATTATACCCCTGTATACCCCTATAGATATTATCCCAAGCGTGTTGAAATGCGGCTCTGTTTCTTGACAGTGCGCCAAGGCCAGCAAAGCTGACTGAATCATTATCTGCTCCGTCGTTACGTTCGCTGCCACGCTTGCACAGCAGCCAGGGCCTTTTGTGCAGCAACTACACTCCCCATTTGATAGATGTCTGCCCAAGGCAGTGAGCAGCCTAGCAATGAACGCGTGGTGAAGGCAGAGGAGTACATGTACTTGCAGGCTGGTGCCTCAAGTGTTTGACTCCAGACCATCTTCGTATTTCACATCTTGCTCGAGGTCAAGCGTAGCCATTGGCCGGAACTTAGTCCAGATTGTGGCTTGGCAAAGAGACCTCGTTCGAGGAGATTTGTTACACATCTGTAGATGTAGGCAATACTTCAAAAGGTCCACTGGATACGTCTCAGGCCGGCTTTGGACCCTGCGGGACTTCGCCCTGCAGAATTCCAACTGGGAGTCCTTCACGGACAAAGGGAAGCTCCGAGCATCTTCGTTGCAATCACATAAGCTGAATCGTAATGTCTCAGAAAGAAGCCCTGACACTAAATTAGCTGAGGTCATTTATGAGCTGGGAGCTTTGCTTTGCGAATCTGGCCATCGTTTGAAGGAGGAGCTTGCGAACAGGTGTTGGCATTCCCAGCAGGAATTGCAAGTTAAGCAGGATGTGATGCTCAAAGCTCGCAATGAGCTGCAAAGAGCCGTTACAGACGTGGCGTGCTTGGTCTGTGATGATGGAGAGCTTGCATGCTGCAGATGGCTTGTTCGAGGCTCGCCAGCTGCCTCGCGTTGTGCGCAGGAACCTCAAGCTTGCGGCGTGTTTGCTTTTGTGCCGCTTCCACGTTGCTTCCACCTTTGCAGGACCATTTTCCTTTTACTCAGGTTCCGACAAGCTGCGAGCAATGGCTGTGGCAAGCTTGTGCGAAGAGAACCTGAACTTGCCGAGCGCTGCTCGACGCCTCAAGGAGGCCGCTTTTGCCTCCAGCTCCAGATTTGCACAACCCTTTGCGAGTTCCAAGTGTTCAGGCGCTGGGGGCCACGAAGCGCGAGGTCCGGCCACAAATTGCTCCGACATCTTGTCAGAATGTCAATGCATGTCATCGCCATGTAGCCAGTTTGTCAGGAATACGACAATGGCCACATCCAGAACCTCTCCAAGAAGAGCTTCAGCAGCAATTGCAAACATACACCAGCTCGGCTTGTATCAGCGGACGTTCCAAGATGGAGCTGGTTTATCAGCAGAGGTTCCGGTTCAGAGGATACATCGAGAAGGTGCAAGACAGGTAAGCAGCGCAGTTCTGTTGAAACATGTCTTGAGCTCACTTGACCTTGTGCTGTGTAGGTCCATGACATTGGCACAGCTCCGCAAGGTGCTTAAGCACCTTGGCTGCAATGCATGACATGTCTGTCATCGCACCCAGCAAGTCCCAAATGAGTGGAGAAGGTTTAGGGCGTAGGGTTTAGGTGGAGAAGCTTGCAAACAAGGTACTGTCACGAGTCTTGTCATCATTGGCGCGAAGCGGGGGATGAGGCCGCATGGCTTTGCGGTTTGGACATTGTCCAGCTGATGATTGCAATAGCAATAGAAATAACAATAACAACAGTAACAGTGGTAACAATAACAATAATAATAGTCACAATAACAATAAGAATAACAATAAAGCAACAATAATAATAGTAATCGTAGTAACAATAGCAGTTATAATAGCAATGCAAATGAACAATAAGAAACGAAAACTATAGCAGTCATAATAGTAATAACAATAGTAACAAACGATAATGCCAAATTGGAGGACCAGCCTTCTCCACGCTCCGGCAACCCGCTTACCATGGAAGCCTTGGACTCAGGGCCAAGGATGACACAGGCGTGAACAAGCGGAGCTTCAAGTGGTGGCTCTAGGCGTTCAACTATATAGTGACTGTATAATGGAAAAGAAAATGGAAGCTACTTTAGTATATTGGGATAATGGAAAAGAACATGGAAGCTACTATTCAGGGTTTAGGCTGTTTTGTGGAGGTAAGTGGTGGCTCTAGGTGCTCAACTTGTACCATGTGGACTCCTGGCTGATCTGGCCTGCAACGGAGGCTCTATCCTGTGCGAGCTTTTGGATTTGCTTGAACGTCTACTGACTCTGATCCGCTTGTCAGAAGGCATATCGAAGCTCCTTCGTGGAGCTCATGGCCGATCAGGCTGGATGGTCTTTCATTGTGGTCAGAGGTGGGAATTCTGAATGCAGCCCTGAAGAGGCTCAACCCGCCGTGTGGTGTGTCAGCCATTGCTGGTCTCAACCGTGCCTTGGAAAAAGACATTACAACATTGCAGGTCTTTCCAGTGCAATGCCGAGATATTTAACAGATGCAGAGCTCTGCCAGCTGTGTCTTTCAGGCATGCGTCCTTCGTGGAATGCATTGGGCAGCACGTCCAGACAAGGCCTCTGGCAACCGCCCTCTCAGTTTCATCCCTGTGGCTTCCGTTCGCCTTCCTTGCAGGGGCCTACGCCGCTGTACGACCTTTTGGATTTGGGCTTATGCACACAGGCGCTAGACCAGCGTAAGATGAAAGCTGCCCGATGACTTGCCTGCATTCTATGAGCTGCGCAGCTGTCGTCCAGGCACCACTGCTTGGACTTGGACCCCCCAGAGTCAGCCGCCTCAGCTGAGCCGCTGCTGCTTAGGTTAGGCGCAAGCTTGGAGCTCCTTGCGTTGGCCCACTTGCTTGCCCTGCTTTGGGCTCAATGTCGCTCTGCTCAGGTCAGCCATTTGTACCGCACTTGACACGGCTGAGAGCAAGATGTTGCTCGTGCTGCCGGACACTTCCCGAAGCCAACATGTTGCTTGCCATTGTTTGACACATCTTGTTGTTCCGTGGTTCAGGACCTTGCCGATGCACCAGATGAGCCGCGATCGAAGCGGCTCTGGTGCATGTTCGAGGCAAGCGCCAAGTGATTGGATAGGGATAACGGAAAAGAACATGGAAACTACCATATTATGGGGGTTATATACGGCATAATATAGGGGTAATGGAAAAGAAAACGGAAGCTACCTGTATGGAGCAAGAACCCTAAACCCCGTGCAGGTATTGCAGTGCCTCAGTAGTGCTCCGCAGCATGGTTGGTCAAGAACACCAGTTGACGTTGCTGCTGGAAGCTCAGAGCATGTGCGGACTTTCGCTTTGCCTTGCCATAAGAGTTATGTAGGGATTATTATATTGGGGTTATATAGGGATAATGGAAAAGAACCTGGAAACTACTAGAGTCTATAGTATAACCCTAAACCCAACAGTGTCCATTTACTTGTCCTTTCATTTTTCCATTTGATTCTCCATTATAGGGGGAAATATAGTAACTCAAATGGAGTTACCATATTGGGTGTATGTATGTATATATGTTATTAATATGGTTTCCCCAATATATTAACTTCCAAGCCTTGCACAGGTGATGGCTGAGGGCAAGGCCTGCGGCACGGATGTTTGAAGGGGCAAGAAATGCACATATTGGGGTTATATCGGGATAATGGAAAATTGACATTGAAGCTACTATGGTATCTTGGGATAATATATAGGGATAACGGAAAAGAAAATGGAAACTACTATATTACAGGGGTATACAGGGGTATAATACAGGGATCATGGAAAAGAAAATGGAAACTACTATGGTATATTGGGGTGATATTGCTTTTCGCGCTAATGCACTCTTGCATGCGTAGGCTGAGCTCATCACGTTTGGCCTCATTGCAGAGGAGGAGGCGTTGCCTGCACATCCAAGACAACCCCAATGTACCATTGTAGTTTCCATTTTCTTTTCCATTATCCCTATATTATACCCCTGTATACCCCTATAATGTAGTAGTTTCCATGTTCTTTTCCATTATCCCTCCATGTATCTTTACCCAGACAGGCAATGGAAGGGCGGCTGCCTGGAAGTGGCCTTGCGGCCAAAGCCGCCCGAGAAAAGGCGGATCTCTGCCCTCTATATACCCCTATATATCCTCTATAATATAGTAGTTTCCATTTTCTTTTCCATTATCCCTATATATAAATCTTCTATAATATGGTAGTTTCCATTTTCTTTTCCATTATTCCTATATAATACCCCTATATCAGGGCTCATCCATGCAGCTTTAGCTCAGGGCTTCCCGCTCTCCGTGGTCGAAAGCCACCTCCAACATAATATTCGCTTGGCTCAGACATCTCTTGACGAGGCACAAAAAAGCATATGGGGGTTTCCCAAAATTAGAGGTACCATTTTAGGGGTCCCCATAATCAGGACTATAGTATAATGGGGTCTATATTGGGGTCCCCCTATTTTGGGAGACTACCATATCTTTTCTCCAAGCTTTGAGCTTGTGATTTTTGACAAGGACCGCAGTCACTTGCTGAAGCAACTGGCCAAGGCACGCAACCATGTTGCAATGGGGAAGCAGGGTTCAGCCTCTCTACACTGTTCTGGTGGCAGCCCGCGCTGACAACGGAGATGTTGATAATGTCAAAAATGATCAAGGACAAAGCTGTCATTCGTTTTGCAATGACTTTTGAAATAGAATCTGGACTGTTCCGGCGAGAAAAAAATCACCAACCCAGCGCGCAACTTTTTTGGGAGCTTGGTGTGTTTTGACCCGCTGAGCCGGACGCCCCAACCATTCGTATTTAGTATCGCCGCACAAGCACATTGTGGCATTTTTCAAGTGTATAGTCCCCCTAAAGTAGATAGAACATGGGGTATATGGGGATCTTATTATAATATACCCAAAGCCATATTCTATCTACTTAAGGGGGTTTATAAACTGCAGCCCTCTCGAGGTCTTCGGCCCAGCTTCAGAGGAGGTGGCGAACACCAGGCAGCATGAGGGGCGCAGAATGGAGAGAGGTGACATTGAAACCGAAAAGGCTCAACTGCCTCTTTGCATGTGTATTCTTGCGAAAAGTCTTTGAGGAGAAGGCCTGGGAGCGCATGGCAGAATTGTGGTTACTGTGTTTTAGTGTATGCCTAGGATCCAGGGCGGGAAGACCTGGCGGTCTTGAAGGACCGACTGTGCACAATACGTAATGTCTTGCAAGTGTCCTCTCAACCCCAGGATCTTTTGGCAAAGGCATTGGCACAAGATGTCGACCATCTTGAAGTTGATGTCAGTCTTGGCGGAGGCCTGCGCTCCAGTAAATCTGCGTACACATAGTAGTAAAACCCCAGTATATACCCTATATAACCCATTATAGTAGTTTCCATTTTCTTTTCCATTATCCCTATATTACCCCAATATATGAACGGCCTTCACTTCCTTGCCCCCTTTTTGCAATGTCCAGGCGGCCTTACTTCTGTTGATGAGGAGACTCTGCACAATGTTGGGCAGCTTCTAGCAGCATGGCACTGCACAGGAGATTCTTCTGCTAGTGAAGAACTTGTCGCCAAAGACCTTCACTCAGAAAATGAAAGGTTGCGACATGCCAAATAGAAGCCCCCATCGCCAGGCTGCAAAGGCTAACGATTGATTTGAAAGGGAGTTGTTCGCAGCTGAGTTTGCCGCTCACGTACTCGCAAGGGCTGCTTCAGCTTTAGCATTCTCAGGCATCAAAAACAGCGTCCTTGCAGAAGTGGCAAACTTCCTGTCACTGGAGCTGCAGGCAGTTTCCTGAAGTCAGTCAGCTTTCAACAGCTTCAAAAAGGTCTTGAGGGGCTTAGGGTTATACAGGGATAATGGAAAATAAAATGGAAACTACCGGGATTATATAGGGGTTCTATTGGGATAATGGAAAAGAAAATGGAAACTGTTGAACTTGCGAAGTCTGGGAGTCTGGGACTCGGCAGGATGTCCTTCTGGACCTGCAAGGGTGCCGCACGGTGACCGACACTGGCATTAAAAGGCCGGGCATTTGGGAGGCAAGTAGAACGGGAATGGTTGGGGTCATGGAAAAGAACACTGAGACTAGTATATTATAGGGGTTATCTAGGGGTAGAATATAGGGATAATGGAAGAGAAAATGGAAATTGCTATTGTGGGGTTTAGGTGTCTGACTTGTGCACTTGTGTTCAACTCAGCCAAGCTCTGAGAGGTTCATGGACAATCTGGTGACAAACTGTGACCGATCAAAGCTCAGCACTGTCTCCTGCCTGCTGATGGGTACAAAGGCCCAAGAAGCAATGCCATGCAATGCGCTCAGCTTGACTGAGTAGAGTCCATCAGCACGTGCCAGGTTGCAGAGGTGTGTCAAGAAGCGTGCGAGATGCTCGACCTCGAGCAAGTGCACCAGGCCCTGAAATTCAAAACAAATAGGAAGAAGAAATGAAGATCAAAACAAAAACATAGAAGCTTGCTCGCCAGGTTCGCGAGGACTTGGCCTTGCAAGAAAGGCGTGGTCACTGCAGACACGCAGGGTCGTTTAATCTCTACGCGTCACCGTCAGGAAGAACCACATCAAGCGGCTCATGAAGAACGTGCATCAGGGTAAGGCCAGCCGAGCTGCAGCAGATGCAGCCACAACTCATGGGGTCAGCTGAGCCGTTTGCAGCAAGGCGCCAATCGCGTCTCTGCGAAAGCTCTTGGAAAGCAACGTCGAGGTCACTTGCTCAGCCGTTCATAACAAGCAGCCAAGACTTAACTCTGATTCCCGGGCTAATGCATATGTTGCCTGGCTAATCCTTCTGCCAGATGGCGGTGCGCGGTGTGCTGGGCGAGCAGGGTGTCATCGATGCATCGCACGTTGAGTGGGATATTCACAGTACCTCGGCCAGCATGTCAACGCCAAACCTCTCCGCAAGATGGTGCGTATCCTGCATGTCACCCTCACGGGCTCATTTAGATGCAACGGTCGAATGTAAGGCAAAGACATGGCCATCCCGCTTGATCAAGCCGGCTCCTGAGAGCAACCTTTAAAGTCAAGGGGTCGGTTTACATGGACCGATTCTTCGACTCCAACGTTGAAAGACGAAGTTACACTAAGTCCCTCCCTTCAGATTAGGATTGAAAAGATCTGGGACAGCAAAGCCTGGAGCTGGCAGAGTCCAGATTTATCTGGGTAGGCCCCTGGGATATTGAACATTTTTCCTTAATGGCTTTAATAAGGGACCCTATATACTAATGTTTTCAAAGTGTTTTAGGGGCCAACCTAGTTTGATAGGGAAATGCATGTCATGCGTGAGGGGGCAGCAAGCAGCAGTGTTTGCATTTCTCCCTGCCGCAAGCAGCTTGCCCGCGGCTGGCACAAGGGCAGTGCGCAGGTAAGACTAGATCTAGGCTGAGATCCAGATGATTGCAGTGTAATCGTCCAGCAAGATCAGTGGCATCTGGGCTTCCGATGAAGCATCCCCCCAGGCGAGCAGCTGCTTCCAGGTGAAAAAACAATGAATAGTTTGAGAACCTAATGTGGAGCTCTTGATGGAATTCAAGCTTCCCGGTCCTGGATGTTCTGCTCGCATATCGTGCAACTACCAATCGCACCTGAAATCATTCGCCTAGGCCTTGCTGAAGTTCTTGCTAGATGTGGGTGCTGCGATGCAGCTCAGGCTGCCTATTGCTTCTTGCCTTCCGGCGCTGCTATCTTCCCGTGATTGCTTGGAGGAAGCGGCCAGAGGCACCGGCCTATTCCGTCTTGTGGCCGGTCCGTAGCTCAGCATGGGATGTTGGCAGATGAAAGTTTAGAACCTGCCACGCTTCTTGGCCAACAGATGATACTCTGAAATCTCTGAAAGTGAAACTGATTATATATTTGCATATACTTACTCTTATTACATATATTGTTCTAATAATATACTATAGTGTACTATAATATACTAGACTATAGTATTTGATATACTACAGTTCAGGTGCCAGACCGAGACCCGGAGCAGCGAAACTACAAGGTACACCATCGCCATCAGGCCGGAAAGCATGAAGCGTCAGGAGATGCAAACAAGTAGGGCAAGTGGCGGTGTAACTACTGGAGTCAAAAAGCTTGAGAGCTCTCATCTTTGAAGGGTTCTTAGCTCAATCTTGCAGCAGGCTTCGCGCCCTTGGATGCTTCAACTGTTGATATCTGGATCTTGGCGCGCTCGCAAGAGATCAAACCCAGAAGCTTCCACCTTTCGACATGTGCCCCCGAAAGCGTTGTAGCTCTCACACACACTCAAACTGAAGGTTGCTGGTGATTTAAAGGCAGAAGTGTGATACCACAAACTTTGAGTTCTCTACTTCGTTCACGCTCTATCTTCGAAAGTAGCCAGATCCCCAACTCTAGAGGCCTGTAATCCTGATGGACATTCCATCTTGGCTTCGGTGCAGGGCCGTCATGGCCTTGATTTCCATGGCTTCTGGTGCAGGCCTTCAGCGACGTCTTTGCGGAGAAGCTGCCAGAGGTCTCCGAGTTGCAATATCTCACGCTTGGGTCACTGCATGAATTTGAGAAGTTGAGGTCCTGAAGACAGGAAAGAAAGCTACGGTGGCTGCCTTGCTGGAGTCCTGAGCTCGGGAGATGGCTTAGCCCACTTGTCGCACAGAAGTTCTTAAGTGCGCGAGGATACGCGGGGGCGATCTAATGGAAGCCGCCATACCAACTGCCGCTGAATTGCAGAAGCTGGCCTTCATCTATGCAGCTCGAGAGGCAGTTGTCGTGGAACTTCATGTGGAGCACCTAGCTTCCATCATTTCCCTGCCGCCAGGGCAGCACGGAGGCGGTTGCAGCCTTGCTATTGGCCGCTGGCCAGCATCTGCTGACGGAGGCAAGGACAGAGATGAGCGGGTTTCCGCATTCATGTGTGATTCGGAGTTGGTGCGCAAGCAAGCGTAGTGTAGGCCCAGAAGCCGCGTGCAAGTTTACGCTTTACGATGCTTCAAGGTCGATGATGCTCCCTGGGATGAGGAGGAGTTGATTCTGAGCTGCGCTGCTTGGTGCTAGTACATGATACCACCTGAAAGGATTTGGTGACATGCAACGCCAAACTTGATGATGCTCCTCGGGGAACAGCTCTTCTGGGAGCGGCGCAGTATGGCCAGGGTGAGGCCAAACTCAAGAAATGGATGCCCAGCAGGAAACCTCTCACTGGCTCAACTCAGCAGGTTGTCCAGAAACTGCTTGACTGGGGTGCCGACGTAAACCAGATGCAGATAGACACCGATGTTGGACCCTTACATGTGGCTTGCAACAGCCATCAGAAGAGTCTTGGCCCCGACGCTTGCACGAAGTCAAGGCGACTGCTTTGACCCTGGCTGCACAGAGGGGCTGGCTAGAGGCATTGCCCCATGCAGCAGAGTTGGAATCGATGTCCTGAGAGCTTCGTGTACTTTCAGGTCGCGTCCATACTCCTGGAAAATGGGGCGGACATGGAGGCGTGTCATTGTACGCATTTCGGCTTTTACCTGCCAGTCTCTGGTTGAAACATGTTTAGGCACGCGACATGACCGGCCGAACTCCTTTGAGCTGGGCATCTGAGAAGGGGCAGCTGCACATCGTTGAGGCGCCATGAGAAGACAATTTCCTGGCCACAGCGTAGAATGTCTCAGGCAACTATCATGTGCCATGCACCTCATTACAGGAGCTGTTGGAGAGAAACGCCCACATCGACCTTCCGGACACTCTGGGTCACGACATACTTTGTGCTGTAGCCTTCAACCTCTTAAGAGTACTGACTTCAAATGGGACATGCAATTCGTTTGCTGCCCACTTCGTGCCAGGACCGCAAGGGCATGACTCCGCTGATGCATGCTTCGATTGTCGGGCAGGTGTGGAGTTCTTGGAGGGGAGGTGCATGTTGATGCTGTGTTAGGCTTCGCAGGTAAGAGGCAGGTCTAGACTCTGCAGGGTGACAATCAATTGCAATGATGCTGGTACTTGTGGGAGGAGGACGGTATCCACACCACATGGGAGGAGAAAAAAATCTGAATACTGTCACCAAAGAGTGAAGACAGCTATTGAAGCAAGAACAGCCACCCACAGCACAGGAAAAGGGAGAAAGACTTGAATGACTTCAGCACTCTTTGCCAAAAGGAACGCTGACAGTCACTAAAGAAGGCAGGCGATCACCCACAGCACAGGAGAGGAGGGGGAAGGATCTGGATGACAGAAATCAACAATCATGTGAGTGACAGGTATGGGAGGAAGAAAGCCTGCCACACGAAACGGGGCGGGATCCGAACGACCTCAGCAAAATGCAGGTCTTGGTGAGGGGGGAGGGTCGGGGTTGAAGCCCTGCATCCTACATACGTGAGAAGGTCGCGAGGCACAAGTCTGCCTGCTACACTTGATCATTGGGCAGTGATACCGACGTGCTCTGGCATTTGACAGGTTGCCGTGGCCCAGAAGCTTGTTGAGTTCAATGCCAACATTCGTGTGGGAGACTTGATCGAAGTCTCTTGCCTGCTGCTGAAGACTGTTGTGGTATTCAGTGGGGCTGGGCAGGCTGTCGACAAAGAAGGCAAGACAGCAGCTGCACATGCTACCATCTATGATACTGCCTGGCCCTAAGTATTCACGTGGCACTGGAGAGGGGACCGGTAATCTGCTTGGGCTCAAAACTGTCTTGTACTTAAGGATAAGATGGGCTTGCAGCAAAAGAAGCAGAAGATCTTGGACATGTTCCAGATTCGGGAGAAGGAGCTGGAGATGCGCGAAGCGAGAGAGAAGGAAGCCGAGGAGATGGCGTCCATGGCATCGGCCGGCTTGGGTGAGGATGATTCCCCACTTGCAGCTTCGCAGTAGCTTCGCAGTGAGGAGCGGAGACCGAGTTTGGACCAGCTTGCAAACATGCTGCCTTAGGCAGGTCAATGCAGCCGGTCGCATTTGGTAAACGACTAAGAAAAATACGAGCTCCCTCCGCAAAGCGTTGCATGCCTGCGCGTTCTTGACGTTGAAGACTGAACCAATACAAATTTCGTAGGAGTGCATTGGGGCATGCCGAAGCAGCTAGTTATAGTCGTAATGGCCTAGCCTTCTCATAAGTCTCGTGAGTCTAGCATCATCGAATAGAGGCGGTCGCAATCTTTGATCGTTGCTTGTTCATTTATTTTATGTGTTCGGATATTTATCTGTCGATTTACTTGAACAGCTAACGCGGGATCGCCTCGGCAAGGGTCTCGCAGAGCTGCAGAGCCACCAACCCCTCACCCTCACTCCCCCCGGACCAAGAGCCGGTGCCAAAGCCTCCTTGCATCCCAGCGTCCTTCTCGGGGAGCCTCAACCTCCCTGGGACCTTCGGCCTTGACGTGCGAGGCATGTCTCACTCGCGGTTCTCACCCCACATGCGTGATATTGAACATGCTCTTTTGAGCTCCGCGGCTCTTCACTCCCACCAAGACAGCCCCCCCCGCCCATCAAATCCCCGAGTGCAGGTTTTTAGCCTGGCACCCAGTAAAAATCTGCATTCCGGGCCGATGCGAAGCCCCGGACACCAAAATCGGAGCCGATCAGATCCCCTCCCCAATCATGCGTACTGGGAGGGGGTAGGGGGAGGGTTAACTTACTCTCCCTCGCCTCCGGACCTGGATCTAAATCTAAACGCCCCAGGCCTCCGGCCTCGGCGGATATGCACGTGATGGGTCGGTTGCTATAGAGGCATCGTATTAACTTCCATGTGTACAGACGACGCGTTCTTTCAGTGTTTGCTCGCTGGCCTGCACGCTGCGAAAGCATGGCCGTGCAAAGAACACTCAGGCCTGCATCATGATTCAGGAGGGAACCCAGCAGCTGAGAATCCGTACATCTTACAAGCTTCAAACTTCAGCGAAAAGATGATAGGAGATAGAATGTTTGGAAAATTGGTATCGGTTGTCTGTCTCTGTGTATCTGTCAATCGGTTTCGCCTATTTCAAGCTTTAGTTATCTCTCTGTCTATCGGTCTATCGGTTTTTATTTGTTGTTACAAGTACATGCGTTTGCCGGCTTTCTTTCCAGGAATTTCTATATATTTGAATTTGTTTATGTCTGCGCCTACTTATCTCTAACGTGAACACCTATCGTTGTCAGCATGGTTGCGATCATGGCACCAATTTTTCGGACACGGCATTTGAATTAGCTACAGTACCAGCAAATATGTGTCATGAACTATTTGTTTCTCGATTCACAATACGGTTTGGTTCAAGAAGTTGGTTGTACGTGCGCGTAGGGCATTCCTGGGTGGCAACCTCAAGCGGAATCCGAACTCACAATTGTAGGCCATTGTACTTGACGTCTAGCCGCCTGCAGACAACTGCCTAATCCCCTAAACCTGGGGGAACATGGCTTTTGGCCACGGTGATGCGTCGCTGCAACTGATGGTGCCACTAGTGGCCCAGATGATAGCCAATGTGCTTGCGCAAGGGTGGCTTGGCCTGATCGAAACTGCCGCATAGTTGTGTTGATTGACCTTCAGCCCTCAACCTCAAACCTGTCTTCAGTTGTTGTGCAGCCCCAGGCTCCAATCGAATCCAGTCTGTCATTAGCGTGCGGCTTGGAAGCATTATAGACTAACTAGAACGTAGATAGATAATCCATGCTGCAAATCACACTGCGGCCACAATCCTTTGCGCTTTCCTTCCGTGCAATGCTCCTTGCTGTGGGTATTCTGACAATAATCATTTTATGATCCTTCATACGGACCCCTACGGTCCCCTAGTGGTCCCCTTGTAACCCTCATATACCCCGGCCCTCTATTTTGCTAAACTCTCTTGTGATCTGTTATTTCTAATAGCTGTGTTTTGTCAGGCGCAGGCTCTTTGTAGAGCATATGAGGGCCTTTGATTGTAATAAGTTCCGAATCGCAAGCCGCGGGATTCGAGGGGCGCTCGGATTTTGTAGTATTTTGACGTAGATGATGCGATGGCATGTTGAGGCACATGGTGCGCATGTCGGGGTTCTGCTTCCGAATCAGGCCAATTTGTCATCAGATCTTGGTCAGGAGCCAATGAGCTGTGGCGAGCCAGTGGATGCCAGTGGCATTCCGTTGTGCTGGCAGGCAGGTTGCCCGCTTGTGAAGCTCATGACTCACAGTTTTGCGTTGCTGGGTCTGACACTAGCTTCGAAACCTGAAGGTCTTTGCGGGTTGTTGCTTCTGCACCGACATGCACTTCTCGCGAGCTGCTTGGAACGATGATGCAGATAGTTCACGAAGTGTTAGTTGCTGAAAGGGTCGGGCGAGCCCTGAGCAAGTTTGGGGACTTCAGACCCTGCGCCTCAGCCCAGACTTCACTGAAGAAGCAAATTCACAGCCCATCTGCTCTCGTTGATGCCGTGCGTCCCTGATTGAGACTATGCACTCATAGCCGCCTAACATCAGCCAAGCTAGGTGATAGGGTTTGCTGCTTGGCTTGAATGCGCGTAGATCTCCTACTCGGTTCCCTCCTCAGGCCTGAACATGTGGGACAATATTCTGCCAGGTGGTGGTCACAACGCACCAAGCCTTCAGCATGAGAGACAGGCCCGTCAGACAGGCATCCATTTGCGCAAGGAATGAACATCATCATACTTCCACGTGTGTAGAACTAGTAGTAGAAGGCCTCTGTGACGTGCTCGCGCCACCAAGCCGAGAGCTCCTCGAAGGAAACTTCGCCATCACGCGTAGGGTCCAGATGTGCCATCAGATCAAACTCAGCAATGTGGTTGAGGGACCCCCGGCACTTTCAATGATATTGGAATAGGCGGGCCATTTTATTTCCGGGACCCCCCACATACCACATACCCCCACCCGCGAAGGTGTGGGTATTCAGCAACTATCTACCAGCAGGGCTGCCAAGACCATCGTTGGCAGTTTGCTCCAGTAAAGTTTCTGCTCCTAGTCTTGGTAGGTAGGTGATGCACTTTCGTACAGATACCGCACCTGTGATCCTGAAGCGCGCTTGGGCCCAAAACAGAGAGTGTTCTAAGTTTGGTAGCGGAGCTCGGCTCC